TTCCTACTTTGGAGTTCAAGGAACATGGATCATAGATTATTATCCTCTTTGAAAACATTTTCATGTTTTTGATGAATAATCTCTCCTCTTTGGTTCTCCTAAAAAATTCAACTACATGGTCGAGATGTGGAAGAAAGAAGATACAGTCTCATGATATTTTATAAAAATAAAATAACTAGTATCGTACCTCTTTCTTATAATCTTGAAGGATCTTCAAGATTGAGAGAGAGAATTTCTAAAGACTTGCTTGAAGGTGGATTCGGCTAGAGAGTGATTGATCTTAAAGAGAATTTAGAGAGATGAAAAGTTTCAAGTTGGTGATAATGAAAATGAGAGTTTTCAAAGGATGAGGGGTATTTATACAAGGATTTTAATGAAATAAATGGGCTGACCTCTAAAGTCCCAAACCAAATAAAACTTCTATTTTTCTCAATAAGAATAAGCCCACTAAAATATTTACCAAACATAAATAGAATGACATTATTAAACCCAAAACTCCATCTTTTGATAAATCAAGTGGACATTCAAATGGGACTTTTGCATTTTTAATTTAAAAGTTTATAATATCAGCTTTATTTTATTTAGAGCATTTCAAAAATATTTGGCATTACACAAGTTAACTTTATCTGATCTCCCACCGATGTGTGATCTTCCAAACAAAACTTGGGAGCTAAGCTAGATGAATTTTAATCACTAAAACTAGGTCCTAGAGAAATATTATTTCTAAATATAGGATCTATAATAAAATGTTAACCTGAGACTCCGAAATGACAGAATGTCACACACACACACACACACATATATACATATATATATATATACTAGGTTTGACCCCATGTATTACACGGGGTATTTTAAATGAGGAAAATGAGTTGAGACTTTTCCTCAGGTATAAAAGAAAATTTTTAACATTAACTCTGAAATACAAAAAATCAGAGTTCTATTGTTAGGCTGGAAAATAACTCTGGACTTAACTCTGAATAAGAGGAATTCAGAGTTGTCTTCTAAGTCTAGAAATTATCTATGAGCATAACTATGAGTCACAATAATTCTGACTTTTTATAACTTAGAAACATGACATGTGTCCCCAAACTATAGAACTAAGTTTGGAATAAAACAATTAAGAGTTATGTTTGAGTTTATTTTGATTTAGGGGCGAAGGCCCTAAACGACGGGGGTCCGGGGCCAGCGCCCCCGGTGGCGGGGTCCAAGGGGCAGAGCCCCTGGCTGGGGTCGAGTTGAAATTTTAAACCCGTTTTTTATGACCATTTCAGAGTTAAATTCAGACTTACAACTCTGAATTTTTCCAGAGTTATGTTATAAGTTTGGAGGCCACTTCAGAGTTAAATTCAGACTTACAACTCTCATGCAGAAAACATCAAGAGAGAGAGCTCCTACTCAAGATTTAGGTGTCTCATATACAGAGCCCGTGCTGTATTCCAAGGAAGATCAAAGCTTGAGCGCCAAAAAGCTTAAATGCTTGATGCAGAGCTTCACTCCAGACTAAGAGGCTCTACATTAGACACATAGTCTCTGCATAGTATATGCAGAGCTTCTTAGTCTCATACTCCCATGGAATGTGCACATGGTTCAGACTTTCCCGCAAGACCTCAAATTAGTCTGGGAGATGAATATCTTAGTCCTCTTCTCCAGATTTAAAACTATAGAAAACATGTCAGAGATTTCTACTTTGTCTAGGAAATCAGTTAAACCACGAAAAAAGAAAAATAAACGTGTAGAGGGACATGTGTCACTTAAATAGACTTATTTGAACCATAAGTGAAATTGTGTCTAGATACATGTTTGGGCGGGAAAAATCAATAACCGCAGCACAGAAACATGACACGTGTCTCAAAAGTTACTTATTTGTTAGGGTTTATAGATATAGAGCTTGGTTTAAATGTTAACCAAAATTATTGTGTTAACTTTGTTAACCAAGCTCAACCAATGAAAATCCATCTTTTATCTAGGTTAATATTCATCTCATAATTTAATGACAAAGGTAAATAGGTAATTTTAGTTTGTATGTAACTCCCATATCATTAATTGGGAGTTACAAAATCAAAAATCCCATAATTGTTGTTCATTTACCATTGATCTTGTTTTTCTATAATATTGATTTATCTATCTATAATGTTTTTGAATATGTGATTGTTAAAGGAAACTTGATAGTAAAGTTTTCGATATCGTTCAAGCTAATATGGATAAACCTATTGGAAAACAACTCGACAACAATGGGAAGGTTAAAATGGTTTACGATGACAATCGGACTTCGAGTTTCGGAAGTGAAGACAATAATCAAAGCGTTTTTATTGGTAATGGATTAATATGCTATTGTATTCGTTTTAATCGAAATTATGTTGATTATGACATTTTTGTGTTTTTTATAGTTCATATTGTGTTGGTAGCTTTTTCTTTAATTATTACTACGAGCCCAATTCATATGTTCAAATGGAATGAGTTCATCGTCAACTTAATTTGTTATGCAATTCAATTCTGATAGCCATTCGGCTCCATCAGCTGCTTGTGATGCTTGACTTGCCATAGACTACAACTAGTGTTCATATACGTTCAGGTGTGTTCATATATGTTCTAGTAGGGACATTAATCAAGTCATCTAATATTGAATTTATAATTTTAGTTAATTTATTATTGATCTTTTTTTTTATAATATTGATCTTTCTCTCTATCATGTTTTTGAATTTGTGATTGGTAGAAAAGACCCAGTAGTAAAGTTTTCGGTGTCGTTCAAGCTATTATGGATAAACCCATTGTTCATAATGAATGAACTATGTTCACAAGTGTTCATATGTACACTAGTTGCATATCTCATGGCTCGCTTCTGAATGTGTTCATAATGAATGAACTATTGTTCACAAGCTGTTCATATTGTGTTAATATGTATACTAGATGCATATTTCAACATTGGTTCGCTCCTGAATGTGTTCATAATGAAGGAACTATTGTTCACAAGTGTTCATATTGTATTCATATGTACACTAGCTGCATATCTTAATATTGGCTTGCTCCTAAATGTGTTCATAATAAAGGAACTATTGTTCACAAGCTGTTCATATTGTGTTCATATCTGTTTTTTTATTTATTTCCTTTCGTGTAACATCTATTCTTATTATGTTCATATTGTGTTCATAAATGCTATACAGTCCAAGTTCATATATATATATATATATATATCAATTTTTGTTTGTATTTGACACAATGGTTCATATATATAGATATAGATGTGTTCATATGTTTCTTATATTAACAAAAAATATTGAGATTTTTTTTTTTGATTTTGTAACTCCCAATTGATGATATGGGAGTTACATAAAAAAAAATTACCTAAATACCCCTTTCCCCTTTGTTCAGATATGTTTTTTGAAATTGTAAATTTAAAAAATTAATTTTTTATCATGATTAATCACAACCGTTTATTGTAAGAATCAATGGACAAGATTGGTTAACAAAGTTAACACAATAATCTTGGTTAACATTTGAACCGGCCCCTATATATCTATACTATATTATAAAACATTTGGTAAAAACTCTTAAAAGTCATTTTTTATGCATGAAGTACTGTTTATTGATGCATGTTACTTAAAATTCAATATTGCAAGTAAATTATCCGTAAGTACAACTTATTAAAGCTCTATGTTTGAATTTGTGTAACTAACTACAGATAAACATAATCAAATTCTGGATAATTATCTCATTTTAAATATAAAAAATCTAAAATATATTTAGGATAATCATTAAATTCAAAATACTAAATATTATTTTTATAAAAGAATTATAT